TAGCTGTCTTCCAAATCTCTTGGCATAACTGAGTGAGTGCCTCCAGTGGGGCATCTGTTTGTTGAAACATCTCAATGGGTATTCCATCGATTCTTGAAGCTTTGCTCTTCACCAATTCCTTCAGTGCAGCTTTGGTTTCTTCCTTCAAAATCATTGGTTCTTGATCATATGGCACCTCCTGAAATGGATGAATATCTACCAAGGCCTAATTTTCCAACTACTGGTGATTCTTCTTTGTTTCTAATTTTGTATTCCAATTCACATCTTGATTGCACATTCGGTCAATTTCACACTGCAGATGATAAAAAATCTTCAATTTCCTCATGTGTGGCTTTGGTGGTTGGGGCATAAATTTGAATAATAGTCATATTAACTGGTCTTCCTTGTAGGCATATGGATATTATCCTATCTCTGACAGTATTGTACTTCAGGACAGATCTTGAAACATCCTTTGCGATGATGAATGCCACACCATTCCTCTTCAAATTGTCATTCCCAGCATAGTAGGGGATATGGTTGTCTGATTCAAAATGGCCAAAACCAGTCCATTTCAGCTCACTAATGCCTAGGATATCAATCTTTATGCACTCCATTTCATTTTTGACAACTTCTAATTTTCCTAGATTCATACTTCGTACATTCCATGTTCTGATGATTAATGGATATTTGCAGCTGTTTCTCCTCAGTTTGAGTCATGCCACATCAGCAAATGGAGGTCTTGAAAGCTTTATTTTATCCATAGCATTAAGGCTGGTCCTACTCTGATAATGCAGCTCTTTCCTAGTTGTATTTTGAAAGCCTCTGACCTGAGGGGCTCATCCTCCTGCACTGTATCAGATAATGTTTCTGGGCTATTCATAAAGTTGCGCAGTAATGTATCAGATAGTGTTTCTCTGCTGTTCATAAGGTTTTCCCTGGCCAATTCTTTGAGAAGCGTATGGACTCCTCCATCTCACTGGAAGTCAATAATTTCATTTTTTTTATTAGAGTAATCACTGTTGTTCCTAGGGCCAGTAGGGTCCACGTTCGGGCAATTGAGTTAGTTGTTTGATTTTACTAAGAGCCTTAATTAGTACTGCAGTGGTTGTCCATCTGAGCACCCTATCTTTCTACGTCAATTACAGTGAAAGCTATGAGAACTGGAACTTGACAGGACTGCCTTGTTTTTCCGGGTCTCACAAGTTTTCCATCTTTCACAGGGTGCAGTCTTACCACTTTTCTATTTCTGGTTTTAAAGGAAAAAATATTTGAGTTTTTCTTCTCTGACAGGTTTCTGCTTTACAGAGTTTCTGGCTTTTACATGTTTTACTGTATATATATGTGTATATGTTGTTAGTTTCATTTCATAAAGTCATAATCATCTATAATTCTAGGTATTACCCAGGAATCTTCCCTTCATTCCCTCTGTTCTTCTATTTTAACTTTAGAAACATTGTGAACATTTATGTTGGCACGGTAGAATCCACCTACCTATCCCATTTCTAGCCCAAATGGAATCAACAAAATTTCAAATCTGGGGTTTTTGGACAAAAGTAACAGTCAAGCATTATGAGCAAAAACATGATTTATTATATATATATATCCTCTAGTAATTCATAATAGCTTCTTGAATTTTAAATGTCTTTTGCTATTTCCAATGCTTAAAAATCATAATT